TTTAGTCTATAATGTCCAACAAAATTGTCGAACATTTTTAATGAAATTTCTTTGGTTAGCGAAATAAAAACGAGAATAAGTAATCGATTTACACCATAATTTGCACCCAAAATTTATTTATCCATGAGTAATCAATTTTACAGTGTTTCTGTAATATTTTTTTAACGTATATTCATATATATTTCTCTTTGTATTAATTTTGATTTCACATTTAAATCTTATGTTATTACCATTGGCAAATTCAATTATCTTATTTCCACCTTTAGTTATTGCAACTTTTTGAAAATGTTTTCTACATACAAAATGTTTTATAGATATCATATACTTGTATAGATATATTTAACAATACAGTATTTATTCTAGCGGTTGCTAGTCGAAATTCTAGGCGTTTTTCTGACATGCCCTCTCACTTTTTAGCCGTTGGCTGTTTATTTATTTATTTATTTTTTTATATAAACATCCCAGATTGGGATGGGGGTTGAAGCTACACCCCCGACCTGTGAATATAATGGCCCAGTTAGGGCTAAAAAGTCAATGGTCTAAATCCAAGTCGGAAATACATAGATCAACAACAAAAGCAGAGAAAATGAAAAAATAAAAATAAAAAATACAAGGATCACAAAAAATATCCACTGTGGATCTAAAATCAAATCCTCATAAAAGGTCGTCCTGATCAGAGTGATCTGGCATGAAGTCCAAAATGTCAAATCTAGTCAGGGGCAGGTTGTAACGGTCGACCGAATCTGAAGGATGTGTACTCTAACTGGTCCATCTGAATGAGCGTTCAAAGCCAGAAGAGAATGTCCTCAAGAAGAAGAGTACATTTGTATGCTTTTAATTTATAATAATATCTATCCTTTTGAAAAAAAAAATTACAAGTATTTATGAAATTTTATGATCACTAATCTGGCCACCTGAGAGCCCCTCCCAAGTCCCACCCCAACAAAAACAATTATACGGTAAAATTGAAAAAAAAAAAAAAAAAATCAAAAAAGTTTGTTCTGTTGCGCTCGATCTTCGCGACTCCCCTTTTTCGTCTTCGATCTTCCGAAGATTAGGGTTTTCTGCCCTCATCTCCACTAATTCCCAATCTCTCCTTTGAAAGGATATATCAGCTAATATACCCACTCGCTCTGTCGGTTCATTTTCAGAGCTCACAGATCTGTCAGCTCCACCTGTGTTGTCCGTTTTGCTAGCTCGTCTCCCTCCACCATAGATTCGTTTGCTCACACAAGATATGTTCTGGAAGCTCACGGCCCTGTCTGCATCGTCTCCTGTAAGTCAAGGGCAGCTGCTTTTCTTTTGCTTCTTGTTCTGTTGGGTTAACGAATTATTCAAGTGCATAAATTATGTGGTGTTGAAGTAGATTCAGGCTTGATTTTCATCAGTAGGAACTTAAGCTGAGTTGTTGTTTACTTTACAATATTGTAAATGGCAAGTAAAGCAAGGGAGGTGGTTGCTGTTATAGTTGTGAAAGGAGGGCCTTGATTCTTTTGAAGTTTTATGTTTTCAGCTATTTGTGTTACTGAATGATTTGTAGAGCAGTTGAAGTTCAAGATTTTCGTTTTTTCAGCTTAGGCAACTGATACATGTTGCTGTTCAGTACCTATTGGAGCTGGGATGCCAATTATACTAAAGTTTCATTAGTTAGGTGGTACTAAGTGATGACAATTTCCAACATAATTCCTTTTTTCACTGTATGCTCTTGCTAAAGTCTGCCTCTCCACCGCTCTACTCATTTTCAGCTGTTGGTGTCTCTTCTGTCTTCATGTCAGTTTGGTACATTGTAACTCTTACGCTGGTCTTCAGCTGAAAAGAATTTGATTCTCTGTTGTACCATTTAAATTCAAACTTGGCCTCGACTTATTTTGAAGTGTCAAGTCTGGTTTTTCGGCCACCGGTTAGACTTATCAAACCTTGTCTGGCACGATAACTTTGTAGAAGTAAGCACATATGCAGGTTTCATCGTGATGACACATTCAGGATTAATAATGCTTTAAATTACTGTAATACCTGGGAAAAAAGAAGAATAAATTAGCCCACTTTAGTAGTATGGATTATTGCTTTTGATATATAACCCATTCAATCAATTATGATGTATGGGTCGGTCCATAAAAAACAAACATAGAAAATAAGTGGTATAGCATAATAATATGTTTGAAATTGAAGTTGCAAAATAAGAAAAATGATAACTATTTCTTTGTAAACTTCAAACTGATGCAAATATGCCCATATAAGTGGGACACTATATCTCCTGTTCTATTATTTAGCCATTAGAGAGACATGGAACAAGCAGGCACAGTTGCTTGAAAATGACTTGATGATTCTCACTGTATCATTTTTTAGATTTTCTTTAAAATGTTATTTGGCATTTATGTCTTTGACATCCTTGCATGTGTCAAGTGTCAACCTGGTTGAATGGGTACATATCTTATATTATCAAATGATTGAACCTGACATCAGTCACTCTTCAGTTACATCATTTGTTATAAACATTAATTATATACTAACTATCAAACTTAGAAACTTAGCCAGGTCATGGCTTTACAGAATCTTATACAAAAGATGATTATGTTGATTGTAAAAGGTACCAACTTTCACCTTATTAAACTGAAAATTAAAAAGCTAAGCTCAAGCTCTAAGCCTCTGATATAAATTAAGACCTGCATATTGCATACTGATACGCATGTTCATTCTGCTCTCCTCGCATCAGATTACTCTGCTGATATTTATGTCAGTCACTAATTAATGTTCTGATACATGCATATTATGGCTTTAGGTTGAGGCTGTGCTGGACAAGGAAAATTTTACACTGGAAGAGCTTTTGGATGAGGAAGAAATCATTCAAGAATGCAAAGCATTAAACAGTCGCCTTATAAACTTGTACTCCTTGCTTAAATGCTTGTCTCATTTGACATTTCCTGTCCTATAAGGATATTTAGGTTCACTTTTTGTTGAAATCATCAAACTTTTATTTTTCCATTGTGCTTAAGAATTGATTGGTTTTGTTTCAGTTTGAGAGATAGATCTCAGGTTGAACAACTTCTGCATTATATCGTTGAGGACCCTCCAGAGGATGCCGATAGCAAAAGAACTTTCAAGTAAGCAGTATAGTTTCAATACATACAAGTTAATGATCATGTTATAGGAAACTACCCATCTCTAGTGTATGAATGAAAAAAGGAAGAAGAAAATAGGAAATCATGTTCCATTTGGTCATTTTGGGATATTCATTTGCTGGAAAACTTTTGGCTCACTTTGCAGGTTTCCTTTTATTGCCTGCGAAATTTTTACTTGTGAAATTGATGTAATCTTGAAGACTTTGGTGGAGGAGGAGGAGGTTAGGGGATTCAAAATATACAATTGAAGTAACATATTTGATGATGATGATGTCCACTCCACCTGTTGGAGGTCAATCATTCTCACTGTATTTTATTGCAGCTTATGGACTTGCTCTTCTCTTTTCTGGAACCAAACCGGAGTCATAGTGCATTACTGGCTGGGTATTTTAGCAAGGTTTGGATAGATTACTCCGTACAATTGTTTCTTGCTGCGTTGATTCTGGACCACTTCACAACCAACCTTTTTAGCAAAATTTATGTTATTTTGCAGGTTATCGTGTGCTTAATGTTGCGGAAGACTATTTCACTCATGAATTATGTCAAGGTGGTTATAGTGTAACTTTTGGACAAGTTTCATTTTGCATGCTAACTGAAATATTAACTAAACCATTGAAAAATCGACATCTAACCATTTCCGTTTGCTTCGCCACTTTCTTGGTTTTGATTGGGGTTCATGGAAGGGAAATGGATAATATTAATTCTTTTTTATCTTTGTACCGTGTCTCAGAATTGCTCGGCATATCGGTTTTACGTTATAAGAGGCTAATATTTTCCTGTTATGTTTCAGACATTATTCTTTAAGAATAATATAATTAAATGAGTTTCTTAAGACGTTGAGAAGAAGGATTTATTGGCATGTAGCTTTACCTCTTCCTCCCATACCATTTCTTAATTCATGGAAAATAATAGAAGAGCAAAGACACTTCCAAATCCTAGAAAAGTATACTAGTGTGAGTTTTCATTATGTTATATAGCTATAGCTAGATCTGAAGTTGGGATGATTAAGTGAATTTTATGCTGCTTTAAAGTTCCAAATCATTTTGGAAGTGTTGATTTGAGGAAGCTTTAGGTTGAGGTGCTCGTGCATAGTATAACGTTTAACATACAACTAATGCATAACGGCTATGAGAAAGCCAGTTTCAGTGTTAAAACTATTTCTTTCCCTTCAAAGTAACTAGTAGCAGTACAACAATTGTGCAATACGCGACTGCTAATTGATTAATTAATACTTGAAAAATTTATTTAATACATCAGTAGTAATTATAATATTTTCTAATTACAGTTGATAAATAATGTGATTTTTATGGTAGATGTAATTACTTTTTTATTATATATATGCAATATGGATATCAAATAAAAGATCGTGAAAAGATGATTAATTTGATATATCATATATGAAAAACTGATATCAAATGAAAGAGTCAAATTATTTTAAAATACATTTTTAATTTAAATTCAGCTTACTGTTTTATAGATTTAAATGTCCTAATAGACATGGAAAATTGTCAAGATCTACTTGGACTACTTTGAACCACCCAAAATTATACATAAGATTACGGAGTATCATGAGTTGACATTTAGGCTTGGGGAACTTTCTCTCTCTCTCTCTCTATCTATATGTGTGTGTGTGTGTGTGTGTGTGTGTGTGTGTAGGGGGCTTTGAGAGAAGGATACCTTTCCTGTCTGAACAATTCCATTTGACAAATATGATGTTGGTTCTTTGCAGGTCCACCAAGATGTTTTTAAGCAGTTGGTTGATTTGATTGGTATCACATCCATCATGGAGGTTGATTCTTTTATTTATCTTGTTCTATTTGGCATGAGTTTCTGATTCTTTAAATCATTGCATATCAGAGCTGGCTAAGCTTGCAGTTGCTTTTTCTGACCTCTCTCTGCTCATTCCGCTCTTTATTTTATCAGGTCTTGGTGCGACTTCTTGGTGCAGATGACCATCTCTACCCAAATTCATTCGATGTGATGCAGTGGTTGGCTGATAGCAATCTCTTAGAAATGATTGTTGATAAACTTAATACTTCAGTAAGTTACAATGAAAATTGTCTATCTATTGGCACATTTGCTGTCGCTGTTGGTGGAAGTATCTAGAAGTAGATTTAGTTGTCTAGTTACTAGCTAGTTAGAACAGTTCGGCAAAATATCTATATCCTAACGTGTCACAGAAACAATCATGTACTTTCCATGTGTGTGTCATACCTTTTTAAAATATCAGTGCTTGGTTGTTAATGAGTTGCTGATGAATGGTCATCTAGGAAGTGCAAGAGGTCTATTATGCATGTACTTGCCCCTATTATCTGGACAATTGAAAAAAGGTGTATGGCCATAGGACTGCTCTATGTGGATGTGGTGACTTTTGCTATTTATCAGGGAGTCGTTGTTTAAGTTGTATTGAGTGGAAGAACTTCATATCTAGGCATTGCTCATAATCATGGGTATTCTTTAAGGAAGATGAAATTTATTGGGTAGGAATTCATCTCATAGAGATGGCTGCTTCGGCTGTCCTGATAATTATGCCTCACTTAGGGAAAAATTCTTTGTGCCATGTGATTCCTTTTTGTGGGTGGCTCACGCAACTAAGGGGTTGATAGACTAAACGGTTCAATGAGAAATTAGAAGAAATTGTAACCACAATGGACTTACATCAATATAATTTATCAGTGTCCTGACTAGAAACTTTTTTTTAACCAAAGTTTTCAAGAAAACCTCCTGTCCAAGCTTAAAATTGAAAACTGAATCATTTCAGACGTGTTTTTCTCAAACAATAATACTCTTAAATAGTACCCTTATCCCAATGAATACCTCTATTGTTGGGGCATCGTGACACTAATGGGCCTTAAAAAGCACTAATTTGTTGTAAGCAAATATAATGAATAAAGTAAAAGAGAACTAAACACTGATAAGATCAATTTCTAACATGTATTAGGAGGCATATGCTCTACGAATATCATATTGTCTACTCTGTAATCTAATTTGAGAATGGTTTGCCAAAGACACCCTTCCACTTATGACTTAAAGATATGTACCTGGATATGACATTTTATTTGTCATGCAGAATCCTCCTGAGGTGCATGCTAATGCTGCGGAAACACTATGTGCTATAACCAGGAATGCACCATCACCTGTGGCCATGAAACTATCTAGTCCAAGGTCTGTAGAACTCGGTTAAAAATTTCTTTGTACAATGGGTCCCATATTTTATGTTTATGAAATTAACACATTTTAACTTATTACTCTTTCTATTGGCCAGCTTTGTGGAACGAGTATTTAGTCATGCGCTTGAAGACTCACCTTCAAAATCTGCTCTTGTTCACTCGCTCTCTGTTTGTATTTCATTATTGGATCCAAAACGATCAATATCTTCATCAGTCATGTACTCTTTCAGAAGTCAACACGTGTATGAACCACCAGCTCATGTAAATCCAGATACTATAGGTGCTATGCTTCCGAAACTAGGTATGCAGCCAGAGGTTGTTAATACTATGCCATTTGTCTCTCTTCCCCTCTCTCTGCATATATATATATATATATATATATATATATATATTAGCTGAGAAGATCTATTTAGTTTCATGTAGCTCTATGATTTCCACTGTATTATCTATTGGTGGAAGACACACAGCTCAATAGATGGTGAACTGTAAAGGTTCCTTCGTTGCTAAATTGGTTACTATGTTTTATATGGCTTAGTTGCCAAGTAAATTATGACTTATTTGAATTTGCAATTTAAGCCAAACTTTTTGTCTACCAAACAAGTACTCAAGCTTTGTTGAGTTTTGCAATTCAAGGCTACCTCTGTTCCCGGAAAACAACAGCCGTCGTCTATAAATTACTGCTGGAGATCTAACCTGTTGATTTTGAATAGTCATAAGTTCTAAAACAATTTCTCATGTGGACAAGTGCAACCTCCCAATTGGTGATCGAAGATCTGTAGCCTGGCAGTTGACCAGTTGTTGCTAATTGCCATCATCGCCCTTGACAGTAGATTGGTTACAATAAATTTATCCAAGATTGGCTACTCATTTTGTTTATCTTCCAAAACTTTTTGCTGCCATATTTTCAAATTGTTGCGGGGAGAAGATAACTTGTACAGCTGATTCCTAAATGCATCTTTTCATCGTATATGAATACTTAACTTTGAATAGTATTTTTGAATTGCAAAATTGACATTTGCTACAACCCCAACTTTTACTCAATGAAATTCCAAGAATGCTGTAATAAGCATTTGCACGATACTTTTCAGGGGAGCTGCTGATGCTTTTGAATGTTACATCTGATGAGAAGGTCTTACCCACAACTTATGGTGAATTGAGGCCCCCTCTAGGACAGTTTCGTTTGAAGGTTAGTATCCAGTGCGTCGTGCTATAATTTTTAGTGCAACGCCAATGTTAACCCAGTTACCCTTGAATGCAAGTATTGATTTCGTAGCTTATGGATCTTTTTCTTATAAAAAAACAAAAGTTCACCTCTAGCTTGCAAGACTTGAACATTTTAACAATGCATGAAGTAATTGCGTAATTAGCCAGTCAGATTGATTGGTTAGTTGAAGGAACTGGGAACAGGAACCATGTCTAAACAGTTCATCTGACATCCATTTTTTTCCTCGTTTTCTCTTTTGAATTTGAAAGTGCCATTTTGATGCCTGATTGTAGATTGTGGAGTTCCTTGCCGTGCTTCTAAAAACTGGCAATGAAGTGGCAGAGAAGGAATTGGTTGGCTCTGGAACAATCCACAGAGTCCTTGATCTCTTTTTTGAGTAATATATGTTCAAGTAGTTATGTTGTAACCTTTTAGTTGGCATGTTCCGAAATGGGCGGCACACTTGTAATACTTACTCCAATGATCTTATGTTTCTGGTGCAGGTACCCGTACAATAATGCTTTGCATCATCATGTGGAGAGCATCATATATTCATGCTTGGAAAGCAAAAATAGTGCTATTGTTGATCATCTTCTCCTAGAATGCAATTTGGTTGGCCGAATTCTTCAAAGTGATAGAAGTCCTGATCTTTCTGATGAAATCAACCTGGTAAATCTTTCATTGTAATTAGTTGGTTTGTGCATATTTGTTTGTTGATTTGGTTCTTTGTGAATCTCTCCATCTTTATGAGTAGATATGAAGTTAGACATCTACGTTTGTGAGAGAATATATAACGGCCCAGGTGAACAAGCAATCTAAGGTTGCGATTGGTTATATATATATATATATATATATATATATATATATAATCATTATGTTTGTTCAGTTAAGATTTATTTCATTGAAGCAAGAATTGAAACACAAAATATTCGCAAAAACAACTATTCCACTAACATAATTGAAAAAAAAAATTAATAAAGTAATCATTAATATATATTTTTCAATAATAGCACTATTTATTCGCTCACATATTTCTAACTACCAATCTTAACAATCAATATCTTGTTATAACTTTAAATCATACATTTTTGTGTTACATCCATTCCCAATCTCAGTTATATGTCATTTTTTTTTTTCTGAAACATTTTTTTGACCTTTTTTATCTCTATATCCCGATGAGACAATTTTTGAAAATATCTTATATCAAATCACACCCTAAAGTATTGGTGCAGCATATCATTTTTGCATATGTCTTACACCTGTGTTTTATTGTAAAGTTAGAAAACAATTTGCATATTCCATTGAATATATTAGTCAAAGACAAAAAAGGGACAGATCACTGCTGGACCTTCTATTGAAGGATCAAACTCATTTCTACGTCAATCTTTTACACAAGGCTTGCTGATGTCAGATTTGACTCAGTCTTCTAGACCACCCTTCCCATGTGCACCCACATCAAACTTACACCCACACCCTCATTAGTCAGTATATAGTAACATAAATAACCATGTAAATGCTTAAATTTTGATAAGTTTATATGTTAATCTTACATATAACCATTTTGCATATGTTTATTTATTATACAATTGATAATATGTATATATTCTACAGTTTTGTACGTAGTTATATACGAATTGATGATTGTAACTAGTTAATCATGGAGGCATTATTTATATATTTCCATGAAAGGGCAAAGAAGATATCCTGAACATACCCAATATATTCCCAACTGGTTGGGGTCTGGGGGTCAGTTGTACGCAGACATTACCCTTGTAATTATACAAGGAGGCTGTTTCCGTAGCGACCCAAGGTGTATTGCGTCGTTTGATATATTTTTCTTTCTAGAAACTTCACTAATAGAAGAAGCACAATTTAATTGAGCCATTTTGATCTAGTCCATTATTAGCACTATGGCAGGAGAATTGTCAACAATGACTCTTCCAGCTCCATTTGCAATGGACAAAGCCTAATGTATCGACAACTTCTATTATTATTGAAACTAAATTAATCATTTTACACGTTTCCAATAAATGTTAAGAACTATCCTTGGTAGTTCTTTTACTTCTAAACGTAGACACACATACACACACATATACTTCTATTTATAAATAATATATAATGTTCATTTGGTGATTAATTGATGTGTCCATAACTTTCAGTTTCACATCGCCATGACCCTTACTATTTTCTTTCACATTTTTCTGTTATATTACACACAATTGGTATATATGACAATGGCTTTAAGTAAATGCAGCCAACTAAGCCAGCTTCTGGAAAGCATGCTCCTCGAGCGGGATATTTTGGACACTTGACTCGGATAGCAAATAAATTAGTTCAGTTGGGAAACAGCGTCGTTCAAACACATCTTCAGGTCGGCAACAAGTGTACAAATTGTCTTAAAAAAATAATAATTTAAATTTTAGTACTTTTTATTACATTAACAACTTGAAGTTTCATCTTTAATTTACAGTGTCTGAGCTGAGACTTTCTCCTTCTGTGCTTTTTTTCTTCCTTTTTTTTTTTTGAAAGAAAAAGATACTTTGGCACCCACTTTGATTTCAGTTTTATATGTCGTGGCTTGTAATACTGTTTCCTTCACTTCAGGAGAATAGTGAGTGGAACGAGTGGCGGACCACTGTCTTACAGGAGCGCATTATGATTGAGAATGTCTACCGATGGGCTTGTGGGTATGCCTTCTTTCTGAGTCTTTTGATGTTGCGTTTACATGAACAGAATTTGTTTTGCAATTTTATCATCCGTTTAGCCAGAAAATGGTAGGTCAGTGGTAACACTTGCATGGATGGATTTGAATCGAACCTTGTGTCTTGAAAGCTCTCGTAATGTATCGGGGAGTGAGGAATTAGCCAAGCCAATTTTGTTGCTTGTCTGCATTTATATCTATTTAGTCTGCTAGGTTGTCTGATTGTTGTCTGATTTAATTTTTTCTGATTCAAAGAATTTTCGTTTTCCCTTCTCTTGCAAAACCCTCGTTATGTATTCTACTGGACAGCAGTCCTGAGGATGATGTTAATTGTTGCTATCTTTGCAGCCGTCCAACTGCACTCCAAGACAGGACCAGGGACAGTGATGAGGAGGATGCTCATGATCGGGATTATGATGTTGCAGCCTTGGCCAATAATTTAAGCCAAGCATTTAGATACAACATATATGATAATGATGACAATGAGGTAATTCAAACAGTAGGCAAAAGATGAGACCTGTTTTTAACTGCTAATAACTTTCTCTAGGTATGAACATGTAATTTCTTGGATAGATAGCTATTTATGAATGCATTATGTGTTATAGGGCCATGGATCTCTTGATCGTGATGATGAGGTAATATTCTCTACTTGCAACTTAATTTAGGAGAACACCCTAATCCTTATTCTTTATTGAGTAACCCTAGAAAAACCCAATCTCGCAATTGTCTCCCCTTGTTGATAGATTGATCATATGTTAATAAAAATGGATGAAACTTTGTAGGATGTATACTTCGACAATGAATCTGCCGAAGTAGTAATTTCATCCTTAAGGTTGGGTGATGACCAAGGGAGGTATGCCCTCTTAGTTTTTTCTTAAACCTCAACTCATTCTATAACTGAATAGTTGCTTACCAAGATTACCTAGGCTCTGTTTGGATTCAGATTTAGATTCGTTTCACATTTGTAACTTATCCTTTTCTTCGGCCAGCTTGTTCACAAACTCTAACTGGTTCGCATTCCAAGATGACCGGATCAGTGGCAATGCCCATATGGACACCTCGTCTTCTGAGATGCTCGACGGGTTCAAACCCACCGTCGCCACATCCAATGGCGGCAGCAGCAGCGGCAGTGACGATGATGTGGTGCTTGGGGATGACATGGAGGCTGCTGCGGCCGTCAAAACCCCTGCCAGCAGGACCAAAAACCCCTTTGATGATCTAGACTCGGACACGGCCTCTGCTCCCAACGATCTGGGTTTCTTCCGCTTAGAGTCCCAAGACAATGCACCGTTTGGGGACCGGCCCGTGCCCACGTGGGTGGCATGGGGCAATGAGCCCAATGTCCACCTCGGCCAGTCTACTATGAACCCGTTTGATGACCCGAACACAAACATCGAGAGTGATGTTCCCTTGGGTTTGCCAAACGGAACGTCGAGTTCCACATCAGGATCTAGTGACGGGTCGGTGAAATCCAACTCGAGCCAGAAAAATGTTGCTGTCCCGTCTTTGTTCGAGGAGGATGTCGAGTTTGTGGGCGTGGAGCTAGAGGGCACTGAGAAAGCCATGGAGCAAGCGCTGAAGGAAGGGATCGTTGGTGAGGCCGGGCCGTTGAAGAGAAATATCTCGCCAAAAAAACCCGAAAGCGAAACCCCTGCTGAAAGTGGTGCTGTCATGGAGGAATTTAATGACGCCAATTATTGGAGGGTCGATCAGGAGGTGACCGTGTTGGAGTGAGTAAATTACAGGGAATGGATTCGTTTTTTCGAACATCTCCAAATGGGTTGATGGGGATCACGGGTTAGATTAAATGATATTGGTCGGTTGTCACTAGTTAATTATTATTATTTTTTCACGCCTGTTTTGCCAGGCTGCTTCAGTTTTGATATAAAGATAGATATTTGTTGTCTCTTCTCTTACCTGCATTCATGTTTTTACTTGATCGGTTGCCAGTAAAGAAAATGATTCGGCAATTTGTAGAATGAAAAATTGGGATGAACCTAGATTGTTTACGATCTGCGTATGGGCCGTGGTTAATGCTCGGCTCTTCGTCAAGGCTCTGTTTCTGTTTACCAGATGTCTCTTTATTAAACTCTCGTTCCCTCATGGGTGGTTATCAGATGCATTTTAAATGTGCAGTGTGTTGACAGTGTCAGGTAATTATAATTTTGGAGATAGCAGTGCGTTGCCTTGGAGATAATGGAGCCTCTCGTCTTTCGTATGTTCAGGTAAGAACTTTTTGGGTTGGCGGGAGGTTTAAGACTGCACAGTTTCAAATTTTCCCGTTTCGTTTTCATAAATGTCTTAGCTCGGGCTTGTTCGACGGAATATGAATGTGGATTTTTGGTGCGAAATGACTGAATGCAGTGATGGATGAGCAAAAGTTTTATAATAATTATTATTGTTACTGTTTCAGGGGAACCAAAGACGACGAGTTTGGTTGGTAGGGGATTGCAGATATTTGTGGATAATACATCTATCAGTTCCGCTCGCCTGCCCACGGTGGACAGTGCCCACCACTTTATTTTACATGAAAAACGTATTCTGAGAATACGTTTTTCAATTAATTTAATTGAAAAACGTATTCTCAGAATACGTTTTTCATGTAAAATAAAGTGGTGGGCAGGGGGATCAAAATTTATACATCTATTAGCAAAAGCGAATTGCTATGCAAACTAAAGGACCCGTTGCCCGTTGGCTTGTATTTTTTAAGGTGAATTTTGGTGTTGTGTAGACTCCTTATTTTTAGTTTCATCTCCATTAGTATGAATTTATAATTGGAAATTTTTGTGAATGTACTGGTAAGTTGTGTTTGCTATAAAAACTGAACCTAACGATATCTCATAGAAACAAGTGTGAGCCGGTGTCGCCCCGTGGGCTTACCCGTCAGGTTTTAGTTTACGATTCTTAATTTTCTTTTGTTTTCTCTTGGTTTTTATTTTTTCTTGATCGGTACTTAGTTTTGTGTTTTGATGTCATTCTATAATGGGTTGTTTAGAAAGAAGAAACATAATAAAAAAGGTGACAGGAACTGGTTAGTGATTTTGAGATGTGTAACATTTGTCCATTCAAAAATTATCTTTTTTTATAAATGTTTATGAGATGTTACTTTTGATCAAAACTTTTTTTTTTTTTTTTTTTTTTTTTTTTTTTTTT